CATCCATGTGGAGACGCGCATGGAGTTAGACTCATGCCTTGACCCAGACAAGACCAGCCCTTGTGGTTATTTGGGCAGTAAACAAGCAAACCTCTGCCTCCCTCCTGCTACTTCACCACCTCTCTGCCCTCTTCTGTCACTCTGCCTTTTGAGTAAGTAAATCCTCTGGTTAAAAAATAAAAAAGAAATAAATAAAGCTGATCTATTTGGGCCACTCTGAAACCATCAGCCCTTAATGCGAAGCTTGGATATTCCAACAAGATTGTATTTTATCAGTTAAAACTATGTAAGCAGCAGGGTGAAGTGATTTAATCAATTCAGCCTGGGGAGCCGTGATGTATCAGAAAGGTCAATGCTTTCACCTTCCTGTTGACACAATACACTGTAACTTAGTAATGCATCACAGGTAGACAATACTGACTGAATCCAGGCTGCATTTTCCGTAGTAAGTATCCAAGTATTATCTTCCTGAATCTTCAAATTCTTACACCAACTTCAACCCTAATGCTTTTATTCATATAATAAGCATTAGCAGAAAGCTTCCTATATGCCTGACACAGTCCCAGGTAATGAGAACTCGCCATGTAAGATATGAGATGCTTTGAAATGTTTGGTATGGCTAAGCCGCTGTGCCAGGCCCACAACCTGGCTCACAGCTATACAGTTTAAGGTATTTCATTGATTTAAAATTCTGCCATGGGGGTTGGGAGGTGCTGAGAAAGCCCCCAAATCACGTGGTGCAACCCAACAATTTATCTCCTGTACAGAGACAGAGAAGCTGTGCCGCACACTGTCACAGGGTCCAGGCTGGCTGTGTCTCATCTCTGCAGGCGTCAGGACAGGATGAAGCTTCTCTGGAGGTCCATGCACTGCCTACTAAATGCTCTGACTGCAAAAGAACACAGCTAGACTCAACAGTCACTGAGCTTCAGGGAAAGAGCAGGAGCAGCATTTCCATACGCTCGGGAGAGAAGAGCCCACAAATGAGTATAATATCACATCACACAGGCAGAGATGGGATGCGAAGTTTCTGCTAAGTGCCAGAAAATGGTTCACAATCTTCAAAACACACACCTGTCCTGGAAACATCTCCTTGGGTAGAGCTTTAGGGAATGGCTTGGAATCTGCACTACACTTCTCTCCAAGAAGTTAGGAACGCAGAGTTCCACAGATTCATAAATGCATTAAAATACAAACATTGTACTGTCCATCATCTTGGGCAGAGAATCCAGGTACACAGCCCAACCCCAAACTGGAAATCACTACTTTTGATTTTCAATTTCAAATTTCTCTCTTAAGGTTAAAAAAAAAAAACTGCCATTATTCACAGTCACTGAGGTTTCACATGTCAGAATCATCCCAAATATTCGATTTGGAGGCTAACGTCAAACAAGATACAAACTAAAAAAAAACTTCTACAATTCTCCTATTCTCTTACCTTATAACTTAGCCACTCTTTTATACTTTATTGCAAGCAAAAATGCTCTAAATGAGTAAGTTTCTCCATTTTGCAGCCTGTTCAGATGTATTAAATTGCCACACCGTTCAATCTTTTGAACAACGGGAAAAGTTCTAAGTAATTTGGTCACATTAACATATTTTCAAATATTTTTTCCATTACAATTCTTCACACTCTCCTAATCCTAAACAGCCCAGTGAGATAACACTCCTCGACCTCCTGACCCAGGCCTGTTCTCTTCTTATTCTCAGATAACCTCTGATGCAAAAAGCATGCCGAACCCAGCATAACTTCTACACCTTTCTTAAAAACATTGAAAATATTCTGTGTTTACACAGTGCAATCTAGCTCTCCAGCTTTCTTCTCTCCATGAACACATGCTTTCATTTTAAAAATGTATGGAGTTTTTCAGAAAAAGAAAATTAACAAAACCTATGGAGTTTTGCTCATGAAAACAAGAACCCACACATCTTACCAACACAAACAAGCTAGGTACGAAAGGAAGGAGATAAAAGCACCGATTTTCACAACCCTGAGAAAACAGACAGAAGGTGAGCTGCCTGGCACAAGAAACACTAGGTTTCACAAACACAAGAAATTTATAGATGATATTACAGCATACAGCAATAAGCTAAAGGCTAAGTAAAACACTAAAAGTAAAAATTTAGAAAAAAATGCAAAGACTTTACTTGTTTTCAAATGAGAAAAACCATGAAAACAAGCGAACAGGAAAAAAATTTAGTAGAAAATTTAGTAGAATTAATAAAACTTGACAGAAAAATTTTAGTAAGTTTAAAAGCTGTGTGACTAAAAGCACTAGGAAGGAAAAGAAAGATTAGATTGGATTCATATTATATAAAACTCTCCCGCAATCCAACTTCAATGAAAAGAATAAATTGCCATTAACTTGATATTGGCATTTCTAATAGAGGAGTACTAACGTACAGTGTTAACTGAAAGTAATCAATATCAGAAAAATGACCAACGAACAGGAACTAGGAGGAAGCTTGTCTGGAAACAGAGCATTCATTCTAAAACATGACATGCTCACTTTTTCTGTTCCTTTAGTATAAAAGCATGCAGTTCAAGATCAGGTAGTTGGGCCGATCCAACCAGCACAGATGTCCCTGTGTAAGTAACACACATCCCAGAACCACTAGGAAGAATGTCCTGAAATTGGCAATTCTGAGTACCCAAAGCGGGCAAGTTCACTGAACGACATTCAGCAGAGCCAAGGTTCCATGACACAGAACTCCTTCTGCTCTGGCAAATAAACGGCTTGCTCTGGGAAGAAGCTTGGCACAGCTGCTGCACCCTACAACCCATGCTGGCTGGGCGACACGCACGGCCCAGCGCCCGATTCCAGCTGCTTGCTCCCGTGCAAGTGGAGAGGCAGTAGGGACTAACAGAAGTGCTTGGAACCAGACCACTCACTCACATGACTCAGACGGAATTCCCAATCCTGGCTTGAGCCTGGTCCACCCCCAGCTGCTGAGGCATTGTAGAGAAAAGCAGTGGCCTGACAGAGCTCTTATCTCTTAATATACATACAAACCCCAATCAAGTTCTAAAGCAACATTCTCTCTCTACTAAGGCTACAGAGGGGTTACTTTCCCTAAGCATGTACTTAACACTCTTGATTTGTAATCCTAAGAAAGTTTATTACCTCAACAGATTTAAAAAAATTATAATAATTATTGTGATCTGTTAAATAACAACCTTGTATTCTTCAAAAGAGATAAACACAGCAATAGATCATTATAACTGTCTTAGTTCATGGGCCTGGCACAATAGCGTAGCAGCTAAAGTCCTCGCCTTGAATGCGCCGGGATCCCATATGGGCACTGGTTCTAATCCTGGCAGCCCTGCTTCCCATCCAGCTCCTTGGTTGTGGCCTGAGAAAGCAGTCGAGGACGGCCCAAAGCCTTGGGACCCTGCACCCGTGTGGGAGACCCGGAAAGAAGTTCCTGGCTCCTGGTTTTGGATCGGCATAGCACCAGCCATTGCAGCTACTTTGGGAGTGAATCATCAGACAGAAGATCTTCTCTGTCTCTCCTCTTCTCTGTACATCTGCCTTTCCAATAAAATAAATAAATCTTAAAAAAAAAACTCTCTTAGTTCATATATATACAGAAAGAAGGCAGAACTTTCTGAAAGATGCAGCTCTACCAATTATACAGCACACAACACAAAATTTATGCCAGGAAAATACCTTTTAGAATTAAAGTAGCTTAAAGAATTACTAAAATTATTATTACAGAATTAACAGAATCACTTAGCAGGACACTCATAGCTTCCACCAGTCTATTATATTATGGGGCTTAATTGCTTAGCATCACATGAGCTGATTATTTTCTGATATACTTAGCAATAAGTCTATGCTATTACTCATAGAACCAATAGTCACATATGCTTCCAAAAACCCCGTTCCGATACAATGTATTCCAAACCAGCAAGTAAGAAAAGGAGGATTACATAACAGTGTACCAACACAAACTCTGGTTTCTATTTCTATTCCTTACAAAATCAAAAGAATTTAAATGATTTCTTTAACTTAAAGGAATTAATTATGTAAAATTATTGGAAAGTAATTGATTTGTGATTCCTTATAAAATCAAAAGAATTTAAATGATTTCTTTAACTTAAAGGAATTAATTATGTAAAGTTATTGGAAAGTATTTGATTTGTGAGTTTATTTGTAGAAGACACTAACATAACTAGGTAATAAAGATTAGACCAATGGGAAAAGAAAGGCAATGGCTGCTGTACTCATTTATGCAAATATTAAAACATTTTTGTTGGATGTAATACTCTAGTAAATAGTTTAAATGCCATTTTTTAAATTACTAAGAAGTTTCCTAACAAAGTGAAGCAGAACCAAGGGAGATGAATAGAGATGAAATGGAGGAAAAATGAGAAAACAAAAGTGGCTCAGTAATTTCTCATGAGATGTCACCCTCAAAATCAGTCTATGTCCTATTTAAGATAAAATGAAAATGTAAGAGTTCTACTATCACCGAAATAACTAAGTAAATCCTGTACATTAATAGAAGTTACACTCAGAGTTCATTCATCTTCCTGTAGCCAATAAGGCGATGCCACCGAGAGGTACCCGGCATCCACAAGCCATAGGAACAAAGCCACTCGGCAGCAGCATCCTCCCAGCGCAGTCCCCCTCACTCCACGTGGGCAGGAGAGGAGTCGACACAATTGAACAGCTTCCATCGTCTAGCTGATGTGCTCAGTTTACATTCTTCCCCAATATATTTTGACTCAAGAGTTGAATACTATTTTTGAAAATCAGTCATTACTGACGTTGCTCCCCCTCCACAACTATTATACAAAAATAGGTCAGAAAAGGATTTTCCAGGTAAGAACCTCAATAACATGCATTTTTGTCCATTAGTCAAACATTATATTTGACTATGTTTCTCTATTTTCTAGTTAATAAGTTGTACTGTATTAGAATAAACATAAATTCAAAATAAAGCTGACTACTAGGAGTGAAGCCCAAACCTAAGATTTGAAAATAATTACTTACTGCAGGTACCAACAATTTCTTCACTTCTTCCACTGCTCTCTTCAGTTTGATTTCTGCCCTGTTCTGAGCATCTTCCACAGTGATCAGTACATGCAAATCTTCATTCAGATGCTCCCAATTGGGCTTGCCTCTATTTTGCTCCTCCTAAAAAAATTATAAAACACATTATTAAAGAGTTCTCTTTTTTAATTTTTATTTTGAATTTTGTGGTACATTTTTGTATAGGCTGGGATTCCCCCTCAAACTCCCACCCCCCGTCAGATTTTTCCCATTTTGTTACAATAGTGTAGTCCTTCATAAGGAATCATAATTCAGTCTCTTATTTAAGTGTATCCTGGCACTGTTGGTACAGACAATGTCAGACAATACAGCATTCCATTGTCTACACATGTCCAACAGTCTCATTGGGAATCCATCTTTTGTCTGGATGCAGGGATGCATGTTCCATTGTACCCCCACGTCTGTACATGATAGACCCCAGTATTCCATCAGTATAAATTACCATAAGTGAAAAACGATGAAACAAGGTCAACAACTGGTATGAGTTAGAACAGCGACAACAACAACATCAACAACAAATTATAGCACCTTCCAAATAATCTTTCAAATAATCTCTTTTCTCTAGTAAAATTCATCACGTGCTCATGAATCATACAATGGCACCATTTTTCCCAAGACACTTCTGTGTTTCCTTTTTGTCACAAACGTGTTGGTAACTCAGTGGTGTGTTATTTTTTCAAAGAGTTCTCTTTAAAATAAGTCTGCATTATTTTATTTTAGTGACATTAGATACCTTATCAATTATTTCAGTGTGAATCTTCAACTTACACACACGTACACACACACGTACACACACTCTGCATGTATGATTATTAGGTTAAATGGCGTTACAATAAATAATTGACGAGTACCTACTATGCACGAGTCAGACGCTAAAGATACAACAGTCGCATGAGAATCCCAACCTATACAGTGCTTCTGAGTAATAACTAACTCTATATATGGCCTCGTCATTAACTCACCACGTGAAACAGCTTAAGTAACAGGCTAACTTGCAGTTTCCTTAAGGTAAACACAATGTTGCCAAGGATAAGAAAGACCTCTCAAAATCACATATCTAAGTTTTCATTCTCAAATTCAAAACTCTTTCCACTTTCCACAACTGTTTCTGATGCCACTAGCTGCACCCATAATTAAGACAAGGGATTTGCAAAGGTTAATATTCTATAACTACAGTGTTACTTAAGTATTTCAAGTAGTAATTATTAAACATTTCATTATAATCCCAACAAGGAATAAATTTAAGATCCGTTAACTTTCCTAATAAACTTTACATTTTAAAAAGTGAACTCTAAGATCACTCCCAATTAAAATCAAGTCACAACTATTAGTTTCACAAAGAATACTGACATTTCATTTCCTTGTTATTGCCTAGTAGCCTGACAAGGAATATTCTCATGCTGAAATCTGCCAATTTACAGGGACGTTTCTTAGAAGTAGAGCTGGGTGAGGTGGGCGTCTGGCACATACCCTGTGTGAAGCGCCCACATCCTACGTCAGATTGCCCATGTTTCCAATTCCACTTCTGATTGCAGCTTGCTATTAAATGCAACAGTGAGGGAGTCATGTGGTGCAAGCGGCTGGTCCCAGTCACCCACAGGGGAAGCCCAGATGGGCTCAAGTTCTTGCTTTTGTCCCAGCACTGGTCTTACTGTGGTTGTTTTAGACATGTGAAAATGTATCAGCAGGGCCTGGCGTGGTGGCGCAGTGGTTAAGGTCCTCGCCTTGCACTTCCCGGGATCCCATATGGGCACTGGTTCTAACCTTGCAGCCCCGCTTCCCTTCCAGCTCCCTGCCTGTGGCCCAGGAAAGCAGTCGAGAACGGCCCAAAGCTTTGGGACCCTGCATCCATGTGGGAGACCCAGAAGAAGTTCCTGGCTTCGGACCGGCATAGCACTGGCCATTGCGCTCACTTGGGGAGTGAATCATCGGACGGAAGATCTTCCTCTCTGTCTCTCCTCTCTGTATATCCACTTTTCCAATAAAGATAAAATAAATTAAAAAAAAAAATGTATCAGCAGACTGAAGACTTCTCTCTCCTGCTTTTTAAGTACATACATAATGTGTATATACTTTCCACTAAAGATACAATATTTCATAATATGTTCTTGCTTAACATTTTGGAGATAACATAATTCGCAGTGTATAAATTACATATACTAAACTTAAAAAATAAAAGTTTATAAACACATAACTGGTATACATAAATGCATCTGGCTCAGAGCCCAGAGCAGCAAAGGCAACAGCTAGACGTACCTCTTGCTTCCGGGCCCTGAACTTAGAAGTCACTACTTACTGTCAGATTCTAGCCAGAGAAAACCAAACAGCTTTCCACTACAACACATATTTTGACATCATCCAAAGAAAACAGAAATAAGTTTCAACAAGATAATATATTCTTATTTTCAGTAAACATCTTTAGAATGATACTTAAAATTTCAAGGGAAACACAAAATGAACAGAAACAGGTAAACATGTATATACATATATCCTTATGAATCAACTGTGAAACAGACCAGCGTACTGGGAAGCAGATACACTGCAGCACCCAGCTCTGCTCCCAATGAAACATCTAAACAGGCCTGTACACTGTGACACCAGACTCCCTACCTCTGCCTGTACCAACTACACCATGATACATTCAAATAACAGGAAGGTAAACTCATAATTCTTCTACTATGATAACTTGGGGAATATTGGCCTAAGAGGAAAACACGGAAGGAGAGTTGGAAAAATCCCTGTGCCTACAAAGCTGCATCATGGAAAACAGTAATTAAAAAGAAATAACTTGGTTAAGAATCCGGAGAAGAGAAAAAGGAAATTTCAAGGGAAGCAAAGTAATAATCAGTGTTTGCATACTATGTAAATTACTAACTCAAGTGATTTGGCTATTTCAACATTATATCATACCAAAACTACAAACCTGGTGTTTTGGAAAACCACTAATTAAAAGCAAGCTCATGCCCTGCCCTTGTCCATACCTACAATGTCAGGATACACTCAAATAGCAGAATGACAGAACAGGACTGTCTGTGAAGGACTGTACTATGTAGTAACATGAGGAAATCGGGGGCTGGGGTAACATGAGGAATCGGGGTGGATTTAGGAAGGAGGGAAGGGAAATTCCAGAGCCTATGGAACTGAATCATAACATAGTTAAAAAAAAAAAGATTAATACCTTAAAACAAAGCAAGTCCACAAGTCCATGGTCCAGGGTAGTAGCCTAGTGGCTAAAGTCCTAGCCTTGCATGCACCAGGATCCCATGTGAACAACGGTTCATGTCCCAGCAACCCCGCTTCCCAACCACCTTCCTGCCTGAGACCTGGGAAAGCTGCAGAGGACGGCCCAAAGCCTTGGGACCCTGCATCTGTGTGCAGCTTTCTTGTTTTGCCCAGAGGGCATCATAAGAAACTGATCAACCAAGGAGTCCAATGAGCCCAAGTTGAGCTGGAGTGCCTGGGTTCCAGGGCAGGTGATACCAGGGCCTGGATTCAGCTTCCCGTCAATGATGAGCCGGGAGGCAGTGGTGATGGCTCAAATAATTGGACTCCTGCTTCTGGGGAGCCTGAGTTAAGCTTCAACTACCAGCTTTAGTATACAGGGGCTGGTGCTACAAGTTAAATTGCCTCCTGCAACAGTGGCAGCACATACTGTTGGCTGAAATGCTAGCTGTTCCACTTTCAATCCTGTTGGATCAGAGCTTGTGACCTGGATGTAGTTTCTGACTCCTGGCTTCAACCTGTCCCCAGCCTTGTCTGCTGCAGCCACTCAGGCACAGAACCATCAGCAGACAAGAGAGGCCTCTCTCTCATCTCCCCCCAACACTGCTTTCCCTTTCAAAAAAGCAAAACTAAAATATGTATAAACATCTCTGTTACGGCATGGAAATTAATTATTAAACCCAGCTTTTAACTTTCATGAAGAATGCTGACTATACTGTCCCAATAAAATTTTTATCTTATCTAAAAAGTAGGGAGTGAGAAAGACATAAACAGAAAGGGTGCTTTCCTCTATTCACTAGCTCGTTCCACAAAGGCCAAGGCCCTAGCAGACCAGCGCCAGGGGCTCCAAGCACAACCCAGTTCTCCTAGCGGCAGAGACCTCATTAACTGGGCCATCACCACCGCCTCCCAGAGAATGTACACTGTGAAGAAGCTCAAGTGAGGAGCTAAAGCTAGGGGACAATGCCAAGCATTCTTATGTGGAACACTGCTTCTTAGCAGAGGGGATAAGGCCCACTTTTCCTTTTTTAACCTGTAACATTTGTTGTGCTTAAAACTGTAAATATTTCTCGAAATTCACAGTCTAAGAGACTCCTGCTTCCAGCTAAGGAAACCAAAATCACCGAGAGGCAACACGTGAAACAACAGCTTCAAGGCACTGGAAAGACGAGTGAGAACAACAATGGAAGGAAACGGGAATCAGGTGAGCCTCTGAGGGCCCAGTCCACTGGCAGGAGCCCCTCAGCGGGAGGACACTATACACAGAGGCCAAGGAAGCAGAAGCAGGAGGGATTCAGGAGTCCTGGAGAGGGCCAAAGCAACACTCACCCAAGCAGGAAACCCCAGAGACCAGAAAAAACGATCAGCCTGAAGAAACTGAGCTCAAAGTGCCTGGTTAACACACCACACCAGACTGGAGGACTTTATCGTTCACGAAACGAGGGCCAAGTACACCAAAGGACCCTGTCTGAGTACTGTTCCAGAATTATCCAGAAAATTTTAAGAGCATAAGCCCTTCCCAATGAATTTAACACCAGAACAAATTCAAGGATATTTATAAGAATACAAAAATATCTATCCAAGAAGGTGAAATCCACAACTGGTATCTCATCATGCAGTAACATGCACGCAAAGCAGCAGCAAAATTCAATTAGTACACAGGTCAGGGGAAAACAGCCCAAATGAAGACTGGAATTAACACTGATCTGGTAATCAGTACACAGACATTTAAACGTGTGTACGCATGCACATCGCATTCAGCTACTGCATATACATTAATATCAGCAACATCTGTTATAAAATCAGTTCAGATAAGCTCTAGAATAAAAACCTAAACCAGGGCCCAGGGCGGGAGTCTAGCA